ATATTTCCCCCACCCCATGGTCGACCCTAATAAAACGCTCCCACCACGATGATTCTTTCTTAACGTTCACTTTAGCGTGATCGTCGATTTTAATCCCGTTTCTATTGTCGCTGATATTTTCTACGCGCGACCTGATTCGTTACGATTTGGATAAGTTGGGAAACATTGATAAAGTAAGGATAATTGTGTTGGTGTCTGTTGGGTTGGAACGACTTTTGAAGAGGCGATAGTTTGAAGAGGCGAATCCTGTTTTTTCCAAAGAAATTAATTTTAAACGTTTTTAAGTAATTAAATAATCGAGATACTTTTTTTTGAATTTTTGGGTCGTCGAATTTCCTAAATATCACTTGAACTACATATCTGCAAGGTTTCAAATGGTTTTGAATATTTGGGTTGCCGAATTTCCTAAGAAATCACTCCATCTCCATATCTGCAAAGTTTGAAATTTTTTTCGAATTTTCGGGTTGCCAGATTTCGCAAAAAATCACTTGACCTACATATCTGCAAAGTTCCGAATATGTTTGAATTCTCGGTTTCCCGAATTTCCCAAAAAATCACTCGAACTACATATTTGCATTTTTGAACTTTACACAGTCAAATTTCCCAAAAAAAGTCACTCGACCTACATACATATCTGTAAAGTTTCCAATGCTTCTGAATATTCCGATTCCCGAATTTCCCAAAAATCGTTTCGTTATCAACGTCACTTGAGCTACACATCGGCAAAGTTTCAAATTTTTAAAAAATTTCCAGGTCGCCGACATTTCCCCGTAAGTGTGCCAACACCGGTGAACGTTAGTATACATTTTCTATCGGCCACGTTCACGGGCCGTCGATTTCACCCGTCGAACAGTTCGTCAACTTTCCGAATTGATTAAACGCTCGAGTTCCCGCAATTGTCGAAGGAACGAATCACGTAACGGCCAAGTTATCCTACTCGAAGTGTATCAGACGCGCGGGTACTTCGACATAATGCTTTGATCGGGGGTGCGAAAACACGAGTCAGCAAGTACTCCGGCTCTTGCATCGTTAGAAGCCACTTCAGGCTAATAACTCCGACCAGGCCACTCCCGAGTCGAGAGTGCAGTTTAATTGTCGACGGTATTCGTATGCTTGCAAAAGAAACTACGAGTGGAGTTCAATTTAAGGGTGGGGTGGGGGTGGGGGGATAACGGATAGAGAATATCTTTCTTCTCTCTCTCTCTTTTCTTATCCATATCGTGTCAAGTGATCGAAAGTTAAAGTCACCTGTGTGTCTACTTTTTTTTTTTTCGTATCCGCGAGATACGTGTGTGAGTTGTGAAGCTAGCAAGAGTATCGTAGGCGCTTCAATTAATGAGAATTCGTTGATGTGATATTTGCTTTATCTTAATTGGCTGTGGAGACGAGCGAATTTCGTAAGAGCTAAGCTGGGATTATCGATTCGAGTTATTACACAGGGTCATCGACATGAAATTATTCTACTCGTCGTTACTTTTTTCGTCGTGGATTATCGCCGGTGAAGTTAACCCTTTCGCTGCGGAAGGTTTTAGTACGCGACAAGAGTGGTAGACGTAACAATCGTGGTCGAATAATTTCTCATTTCGGAGATTTTAAATTTTCTAATGATTTTTAAATTAATATTTGAAAGTTTATTGTTTCAAAAATTAATGTGGACGGACGTGAAAGACCAAAATTAAGGACTAAATTTGTGGTAAGGACGCAGTGCGAGAAAACATTTGAAACGCCTGTAGGCGTCGAGTGTCACAATGCGAGAAGATATTTGAAACGCCTATAGGCGTCAAGGACACAGTGCAAGCACGCATCTAAACAGCCTGTAGGCGCAGATAGCACTGAAAGTGATAATTCTTCGATTTTAAGGATCCTGAGAGTGTGAACATTGATTTATTTAAATTGACATCGTGATAATAGCTCCTTTCTGCATCACAAAATGTTCATTTCCCGTCACCAGTACATAGATAGTATTTTTTTTCAACGATTCACACTTCTTCCTATCCTTGTCACAGTTTAAACCGATTCACTACTGCGTTTTACACTTTAAAGCGTCAAAGTTCTCTCTACCTTATATTTCAAACGGATCAAAGGCTGGAGAAATATTCGTACAATTTCTAAAAAATGAACTGCACAAAGATAGAAATTGCTTCACGTGAACTCTCCTGTGTGAATCTTCTTTCGAACGGATACTCTAAATTTTTCCCAAGATCCGATTCCCCAGAGTTTGATACTACGCGGAAAGATTTTCACCGGTGACTATGATCAAAAGGAACCTCGTTTCTCGTCCACAGCTGTTTCGGTATTCAGTTCGTTCGATTTTAACGAAGATCGCGAGATTTCGCTGTAGCCGCGCTTGCGGACCGTACGTTCTAAAATTTGCGTATCGATCGCCGCCGCCCGTGGTCGTGTGTTAATTAAAAATTCATTTATCTTAAATTCAATTCCACCCTGACTATGGCTCCAGCAGCGCGCACACACACAGGTACGTGCACTCCGCACGAGTAAAAAAATTCTAACAATTTTTCCTATACTGTACAATAAAGGAAAGGAAGGAAAAGTGAAAAATAAAAGGGGACGTGAACGATAATACGAAATTAATTTTTGTAATAAAAGGTAACGTAATTTTCAAAGTGAAAGAACACCCTCCGCCAGGGTGAAATTGGCGGAGAGATATTTATAAGCTGCAGCGCGCGTGTCCCTAGGTTCGATTCAATCAACAGTCAAGATTGAAAATTGAAAAAATGTTATAAAACAGAATTTTATCAGGAAAGGAAATATATTTATTTATTACTCACAAACAGAAGCACGAATATTTTTTCCGAGTGAAATCTTGTATCTTATTGCTGGTAATAATTGACGAATTGATTATTTATTATTAAACGTGAAATCTCCTCTAATACGATATTTAAATAAAAAATGAAGTTTTCACGACTATGCTTCCAATTTCGAAAGGGTTGAACGATATAGATACTACGACAAAATTGGCGCAATAAAAATGAAGAATATCTTCCGCGCGATGTAACAGAAGCAGAAAAAATTGAGCGGAAGAGGCGCGAGAAAAGAAAAATAGAATGTAGCAGGAACGATAATGTAAAATTAATTCGTCTAATAAATGGCAGCGTAATTTTCGAAGCGAAAGAGCGCGTGCTCTGCCATTAAAAAGGAGCGGCTGCTCGCGGACGAACCGAAACCAGGAGGTGGAACGATATTGCATATCTCTCTGGCATCGTCCATTTTTTTTACGTGGAACTCATAACGACGTCCAAGGGAACGGACGTAACTCGTTTATAACGACATACGAGGAACGAAGAGCGAGGGAGAGAGAGGGAGAGACCCGTGTCGCGACCGAATTTCGTAATACCCGTTGCAGGATAGTATGCGCGTCGCATACAAAACACAAAGTATGCAAATCCTCGGTGCCTGCGCGGCCGAATTGAAATCCCCGTAGTGTCCGGCAATTACAGACCGTCACGGTGACTCGCTTCCGGAATTGTCTCGAGCACTTAATTACTAATTCCAGCCAAGTATTTCGTTCCTACCAGCCTCCCCACGTTCAATTACACGCATCGCACCTTACCCTCTCTTGCCCCTAGCTCAAGCCTCGTCCAACGTACATTTTCTCCACGCACACGCGCACATCACGCACAGTGTGGCGATTAATTCGACCATCTAGAGTACGGTTAGACGAAATGCAAGTGTTTTTTCCTTCACGAGGAGCATTTTCGCGAGAGGACTCAAGCACGTGATTAGACTGCCTCGAACGGGGTCGTTTCTGTCGAGTTTCTTCCTTTTTCTGTTGCGCTACCGTCGAAAGCTTAACACGTTCCGTAGGGGACAGTTTTCTTGGGCTAATAAGGATGTCAGTTGCAGTAGTGTGAGTGTTTCAAGGATTTTTGTTTTATTAAAGAGCAGTCGAGGATTCGACATATTTGCGGAATCTTGGGAATTGGGATTTGGGAAAGTGAGGGGATTGGATTATTTGAAGTTGTTGTTTACCGTGCTCTTATTTACTCGGTTATAAGGCGTCGCGGTCTTTTTTTCAACCCAATGCGGGATGGGATGAAGGTTGTGGTGAAAATGTTTAGTTCTGGTTGTTGTTCGGTTATAAGTGGCTGCGCTTTATTGTGGAGCCGTGGTTCGGCTTCTGGTTACAAGGCCCTTTTTTGAAAAATGAAAAAAAAACTGATTTTTTTTTTTTTTTTTTTTTTTTTATGCGATGAGGTAGGGTGAGTGCCACCTGGAGTATTTCCTCCTCATGCACTAAAAAAGAATGAAGACTTTAGTTTCATTGTACAATAAAATATGGCGTACAAACCATGCAGCGGGATGCAGAAGCAGGAAAAATTGCAAAAAACCTGCAAAACAGACGGTAGTTAGATGGGAGGGTTTGTGTGGGTCTTGAGGGTTTGGGATTGGCGCTGGGTAGGACCCAGGCCGAGGAGCAGACCCTTTTTTGACTGCTATGTTGAACGACTGCTTATATACATTTTATCGGAGCTACGAGTTCGAGAAAAGGGCCAATCAACGCCTTTTCCGATATAAGGTCCCCTTCGTGAGCTTCTATTCGCAGGTAGGTACATATATGTATGTAGACCGGCACCGTAGGTCAACGTGCGAGGTCGTCGGTCGCGTCAATTTTTCGTGTTTTGAGGACACGACAGGAGTAATGCAGGATGTACGGAGTGTTTCAAGGATTTTTTTTTTTATTAAATAGTGGTCAAGGATTCGACATATTTGCGGAATCTTTGGAATAGTTTGGGAAGGTGAGGGAATTGGATATGATAATTT